ACCCAACACAGTAAACAATAGTATGTAAATTCTAACAAATAGAACGAAATCAATTTCCACGGCATCACTTGTCATACGATAGGGAAGAGGAAGAATTATTTGTCAAACAAAAAGACACTAATTTTATTTGGAGAATTAGATTTTAAATAAATATATATCAACAATGCAAAGTATGATCTATAACACGTATACTATTTTTAGGCAATTCACATGTAGAGTTAATAATTGAAGGCACATTGGTACATAAAGCATCTCGCATTCATACAAGGTTCGAGGAAAAGTCGTACTTGTAAGGAGGTATGACGTAAGCAATATATTGTTTGATTTCACGACTTGAACCAATTTTGACGGCTTGAACTAAGAGACTGACACTAATTTGTACCGAATATGGGTTGGAAACTCGTCATTCTTCATAATGAAGGAAGTAATTTTTTTATTTTTTTTATTTTTTTTATTTTATATTTGGTGACTCAATTAAATCTGAATTCGCGCTGAAAAATTTCACACTAAGGATAAAGAGCTTAAGCACTCTTTAATAAAGACGATTTCATATCTTAGACTCGATCTGAAAGACCTCATGATAGATAAATGAGTGTGTATCACTCTACTACAGTCTTTATTGGTTAAAAGTTGAGAGTGAAAGCTTTTTTCGGGGTATGGGTAAAATAATAAAATTAAAAGTATTTTGCTGGTTGTTTGTATCAGGTATCAAACATTTACTTTTTAATGAATCATCTAAAGTACTTTTGGGAATGATGATTGATTACAAAGCAAACGTTTGACAACTAATACAAACAACCAACTGCATCTAGAAACACGTAATGGGCATCATCAATCATATTGGAGAACAATTCAGATTTATATATATGAACCTTGCCCAATACTTCAGAGAACAATAATATAGCATTAAACTAGTACGGAGGAGCTAGTAATCAAAGGTGCTCTGTCTACCAATGTTTAATTATGCATCTCTTCTTATCCTAATAAGTTATTCGGCATGATTATCAATATTCCTATGTGGAATCCTTTAAGGATCACAGTGGGGTGTCATCGGAAGTTATAATGGTAGCAAGTTTAGCTCATACACATATAATATAAAGAAAATTATACTATCCGGTTATCCGAATGAAAAAATATATATTGACAAATAATCCTTTACAGAAATCGAGATTTATAATGTTAAAATTAAATAAAATAAATTACTTGCTCTAACAGGTAAACATAATTTAATAGGTTAAATTCATTGTTGTATATACCTAGTTCAAGAGTTAAGGTCTTAAGGATTTTATTTAAAAACAATCATTTACGTTTTTCTTTTTTTAGAGTTAATAGCGGAGGTTGCGGAATAAACAACGGTTAGTAGAGCTGTCAATACAGGCTAGCCCCACTATAAAAAACCGAAATTATTGTGGCGGTTAAATAATGACGGTTCTGAAAAATCGCCGCAATATATATCATAATACGGCGGCGTTCCAGACGTCATTAGGGCATTTATGTTAAAACGACATTTTTTTAAAGTACGGCGGTTCAAAACCGCCACTAATTACACAAGTTTTTAATAATTTTTTTCCCTCTACATATTTAGAACTCCCCCGCTAATAATTTAATATTAAGAACATATAAAATATACTAAGCCTCCTATAAGCCTAAAACATATAAAAGTAAACAGACGTCTTCTCTCTCTATACGCCCCCTCTACCCTTCTCGCTCTCTATATCTCTCAAAAAGACGATTCCCCCAAATCGTTTAAGGTCATATCCAACGATCCTCCCAAATCCTTTAGCTTTTATGTAAGGAGATCAGATTCCAACTCATTTAAGGTAATGCGTTTGAATTCGTCTATAAACAGCCCTTTTCTGATAAATACTCGCTTCAATACGTCTCCTGTTTCAAGTCGTTCGTGTAATTCCTTCCAAAATGCCGTTGATTTCACTGATTTAAGGCGTGCAAGTGTGTGTATTGAATGGATATCAGTTTAAAGCACCGATCTTAGCCGTGAATTTCACAGATTTAGGTTTCGATTTTACTGATTTAGCCATTGATTTCATTGATTTTAGGCGTGCATGTGTGTATTGGACGAAGATCAGTTTAAATTACAGATTTTAGCTGTCGATCCACTACTTAAGCCATCAATTTCACCGTTTGGCAATCAATTTTATTAATTCTGCCGTCGATTTCACTGTTTTAGCTGTCAATTTCTGCTAATAGTTTTATTTCTTTTTTCGTTTATTTTTGTGTCAAGTTTTTGTTACTTTTTCGTAAAAAAAAAAAGAAAGTTTGTGTTTTTTAAAATTTTGATATTTTTAGTTTTTGTTCTGCTAATATTAACCTAAATATCATTTTTGGCCTTGATAGGTAGTCGAGGAATCTAAAACTGCTGATAAAGCTATTGGGATCGACCTCGACAAAATTATATTCGATAGGTATAGCTCTTGTCAGTTAACTTTATCCTTTCTTTTGAGCAGTTTTTTTTTTTTTAAAGGTAAATTGATTCTCTCTTAATGTTGAGTTATCTACTATAAGTGTAAATTAATAGCAGGATACTCACTAGCTAGGTGTAAGGTTATGAAAATAACTTTCAAGCAAAAATATTAAGAAGGCTGACCCAAATGCTTGGGGTTCTGATACATATTTTCAATTTGTATTTGCTTATCTTTACTGAACGAAATGCTCCTGTTCTATCTTTTGACACAAGGGAGAAGCTTAAAAATTAATATCTGGCTAGCTATATTCGTCGTGTATTGGAGGGCCATTTCCTGAGTGTATAAGCTTTTAAAAAGAGTTTACTGTAACTAGATCCTTAAAGTTACATGAAAGAACTTTGGTGCTTTGAGTGTGTGGAATCTGAGTGTCTAACCTAGGGCAAAAGGTTTGAGAATGTTGTTGTGGATTCTCACTGCTGCTTAATATTTAAGGCACAATTTGTTAGCATGACTAGATACATTTCTTAATAAGACTGTATACAGATGAGCTCATGAATAAAAACTGATTCAAACAAGAATGACAAGTATGTTAAGTATTTGGTCATATTGCTGTTTGGGATTGCTATTCTCACTTCAGCCTCATAGCAGTATGACGACTTAACAAGTCTTCAATTCTTTTAGTATTTCTTTACCGGGCACCTTGACTTCGGTTCAAGTATTTCCATTCCAAAGGATCTGTGGATGTGTTTGTTGAGAATTTGCCTGGATATCCTGATAACATTCGTTATGTCACGATCCAAATTTCCCACCCTCGACAGTCATGATGGCGCCTACTAGTGAAAGTTAGGCAAGTCAACCATTTGAATTATTTACCTTTTCCTCATTTTAATCCTTTAGCAATTAAGAACCAACATTATATAAACAGCGGAATTTAATAAGCAGAAGAACAAAATATAATTATTTAAATATTACTAATACAATTCCTTAAACATAGACTACCCAGAACTGGTGTCACAATTTCACAAACTGTCTAGGAATACTACAAATAAAGGTCTGAAAACTTAATACAACGCTATCTCTGGAATACATGAAAGAAACAGAATGAAAAGATAGGAGGAGACGCCAAGGCCTGCGGACGCCAGCAGGACTACCTTGGGTCGCCTGTTGGACTGAAGGTAGCAACCTCACAGTGGTCCAAAAGCTACAACACTGGGATCTGCACACAGTGCAGAGTGTAGTATCATCACAACCGACCCCATGTGCTGGTAAGTGCCTAGCCTAACCTCGGCGAAGTAGTGACGAGGCTAGGACCAGACTACCAAATAAACCTGTGCATTTAAATCATATACATCGAAAAATAAAGGCAGAACTTCACAATTAAAGATAGGAAGGGGCAATCATGCTGCGGGGTACAACAAGTATCAACAGAAAACCAACATTTAAATGTAGAGAAGCCATAACTCAGTTATTAATGAAAATCAGGAAATCAAAGACAAGTGCACGACATCACCCTTCGTGCTTTAACACTTTCTCACAAATATCATGCACGACATCACCCTTCGTGCTTTACACTCTTCCTCAACCAAGTAACAATCACAAAGTAATTTGGGCAAAGGAATCAATAACATCACAATAAAATCAAGTAACAACAAAAATCAGTAAATAAACGTAAAGAACACCATAACTCAATTATCAACAAGAATTAGGAAAATCAAGGACAAGTGCACAGCATCACCCTTCGTGCTTTTACTCTCGTCCTCACCATAAGAATCAATATAATCGGGACGGCATCGCCCTTCATGCTTTTACCTCACATAATCATGGCACAGAATGATCCTTCGTGCATTATCACTCCTATAAAGGCACAGAATGATACATCGTGCGGCACGACATCACCCTTCGTGCATTAAAACTCTCTCACAAATATCATGAACGACATCACCCTTCTTGATTTGCACTCTTCCTCACTCAAGCAACAATCACAAAGCAATTTGGGCAAGGGAATCAATAAAATCACAATAAAATCCAGGTAAGGGAACAATAGTACAACAATAATATCCCGACTAGGGAAACAATATCAAAAGTAATAACATCCTGGAATGGGAGATAACATTAAAAACAACAACATTCCGGCAAGGGAGACAATATCATAATCGTCTTCTTTTTTCACATTTACTTCACAACTCAATTCACAACTTGAGCCAATGCTCTAAAATGTTCACTTGCCAATAATACTTCCACAATTCATTTTACAACTTGAGTCAATGCTCTTCAATGTTCAAATACCAATATTACTTCCACAAGCCTTGTTCAACAACAGAAACCATCACATAAGGTATGAACAATACAAAACGGAGTCACATTAATCATAGTATAAGACTCACGGGCATGCTTAACACCAATGTATAAATACTCGTCACCAATGCCTATACATCGTACTCAACACCTAACACATAAAAAATAGGACACAACTCCTAATCCCTCAAGATAAGGTTAGACCAAACACTTACCTCGATGCCACGAACACAATTCAAGCCTCAACTACCGCTTTACCTCTTGATTCCACCACCAATTCGCTTGTATCTAGCCACAAGTTACTTAACTATATCAATAAATGCTAAATGAATCAATTCTAATGCATGAAAATAGGTTTTCTAAAGTTTTTCCCAAAAGGTCAAAAATCGACCTCGGGCCCACAGGGTCAAAATTCGAGGTTCGAACCAAAACCCGATTACCCATTCACCCACGAACCCAAATATATAATTTGTTTTGAAATAGGACCTCAAATCGAGGTCCAAATCTCCAAAATTTGAAAAACCTATGTTCTACCCAAACACCCAATTTTCCCCATGAAAACCCTTGATTTTGAGTTGAAATCATGTGGAAAGATGTTAAAGATTAATGAAAATGAGTTAGAAATGACTTACAATCAATTTGGAAGAGTATTTGTCTTTGAAAAATCGCCCAAAGGTGTTTAATTTTTGAAAAGGTTTGAAAAATGGTTGAAAATGTGTCTAAGTTATGATTTAGCAGGTTGCAGATGTTGCAATTGCGACCAGGGTTCGCAATTGTGAAATCTTAAGAAACCTGCTATCTGCGCATTTGTGATCAGGGGTTCGCATTTGCGAACCCTGAGGATTCCTGTTCTCTTCGCATTTGCGATGTTGCAGTCGCATTTGCTATATCACAATTGCAATGAATACGTCGCATTTGCGACCAAGGAAGCCTAGGACATCTTCGCATTTGCGATACAAATTTCGCATTTGCGAGTCAGGCTTCGCAACCTGCAGACCTGCAACACAACAACAATTTCCTAAGTCCAAATTTCACTCTGTGGCCTATCCAAAACTCTTCCGAGCCTTCGGGGCTCCAAACCAAACATGCACGCAAGTCCAAAAATATCATATGGACTTGCTTGTACGATCAAATCATCAAAATAATATCAATAGCTATGAATTTAGCATCAAAATCAAAGAACTATCTCATGAACTCTTAAGTTCAAATTTTAACAACCGAAGGTCCAATTCACGTCATTTCAAGTCCGTTTCTTACCAACTTTTACAGGCTCAACTTAAATCCCATATAAGACCTATACCAGGCTCTGAAACCAAAATACGGGCCCGATTCCATCAAATTCGAACATATTTCATTTTCAAAAACTCATATATATTCTAGAAAACAAGTTTCCTTAAAAAATTATTTTTTCGGGCTTGGGACCTCGAAATTCGATTCCGGGCATACGCCCAAGTCCCATATTTTTCTACGGACCCTCCGGGACCGTCAAATCATGAGTCCGGGTTCGTTTACCCAAAATGTAGATCAGAGTCAACCTAAATTCATTTTAAAAGCAAAATTCATTATTTTTCACAGATTTTCACATAATGGCTTTCCGGATACACGCCTGGACTGTGCACACAAATCGAGGTGACACAAAAAGGAGATTTTAAGGCCTTGAAATACAGAATTTATTTCTAAAACAATTGATGACCTTTTGGGTCATCACACGTTATGATGGTGACAGTCTCTTTATGGTTCAATCTTTAAAGTACTTGGATTCTTGTATGTTCCAAAACTAATTTGAAGATATGGATAGTTCATGCATGTTGTAGTTTTTATTTTTCCTTGAATAAGTTACACATGTTCTTTTCTTTGTTTATTTCTTGCTTTGATTTCCGTTTATTCTCCAGAAGTTAAAAAGTGAGATTAAATAATTACTATTCTTTTGATTTCTATATATTGGCTATGAACTAGCTTTTTCATTTTGATATTGTGATGTTATCTTATATCTTCTTTTCTTGCCATGCCAATTGATAAATCTTGGATTAGCAAACCATGAAATAAACTTGAATATGCGGATGGGCTTAGAAAATTTCTAGATTTTGCTTTTGAGTATGGGTCTATGATGGACATGTAATTAAGTGTCCGTGTCCGAAATGTGGTTTTAAGAAGTGGCAAAGAAGAAATGTAGTTGAAAAATACCTGACTTGTAAGCCTTTTCCAAGAAATTATAAAGTTTGGTATTTGCATGATGAAGAATCAAATGCAACTATGCCACAAACATTTCATAGCACACATGTCATAGAAGAAACTCTGCAGCCCCAAGATCTAATGGTAACCATGGTTAACGATGCATTTGGGTTCATGGGGAACAATATCAATGAGCTTGGTGTGTCTTATGAGCCTATGAATAGTGAAGAAACATTTAATAAAGGGCATATTTATGGGCATAATGAAGAATATGCAAAGTTCTATGAACTGGTCGAAGATGGCAATCAACCATTATATGAAGGGTGCGTGAAGTATTCCAAATTGTCTTTTCTAGTCAAATTGTATCATATCAAGTGTTTGTGCCGAATGGATGACAAAGCGATGAGTATGATATTAGAATTGTTAAAAGATGCCTTTAAAGATGCCAAGATTCCTGTTTCTTTTTATGAGGCCAAGAAAACCATCAACAAACTTGGCCTTAATTATACCAAGATCCATGCTTGCCCAAATGATTGTATGTTATATTTTGGGGAAGATGAAGGTTTACAAGAATGTAAAAAGTGCAAGACATATAGGTGGAAAGACAATAAAAAGAAGCAGCCCACAAAGATTTTGCGCTACTTTCCACTAAAGCCAAGGCTACGGAGATTGTTCATGTGCTCTAAAACTGCTGAGTCTATGAGATGGCATTCTTCAGCTGGTAACCAAGGTGGATTGATGAGGCATCCAAGAGATTCTCAGGCTTGGAAAGCATTTGACTTGCTTTATCCTGAATTTGCTATAGATCCTCGGAATGTACGACTAGACCTAGCTAGTGACAGTTTCAATCCTTTTAGAGCAATGGCAACAAACTATAGTATTTGGCCTGTGGTTCTTATTCCATACAATCGTCCTCCTTGGGAGTGCATGAAACAAACTTCATTCATTCTTTCAATGATCATTCCAAGAAAACAAATGCCCGGCAATGATATAGATGTTTACTTACTACCTCTTATCAAGAGTTGAGAGAATTGTGGTACGATGGAGTGCAGACATTAGTCTCTTCAAAGAATGAAATATTTAAAATGCGAACAACCTTGATGTGGACGATTAGTGATTTTCCTGGGCTTGGCACCTTATCTGGATAGAACACATACAGTCAGTTTGCTTGTCCACGTGTAACTTTGAAACAGACTCTTCCAGGTTAAAACATAGTAGAAAATGGTGTTTCATGGGTCATCATCATTTTTTTGAAAGCGGCAATCAGTTTAGATTGCAGCGTGTCCGTTTTAATGGGAAAACTGAGCAACAGGATCCACCGATAGCATTATAAGGGTCACACATCTTGTAACAAATGGAGGGAATCAATGCCAATTTTGGGAAAGTACCTGAGTCGAATGCCAAAGGTAAAAGAACTCGAGGAAAAACTATTGCTGAAGATAGACCGAAACAGTGGAGAAAGAGAAGCATATTTTTTTATCTTCCTTATTAGGAATCTAACTTGTTGTGTCATAATCTAGACCTTATGCACATTGAGAAGAATGTGTGTGAGAATGTGATATATACTTTGCTTAATGATACTGAAAAGTCAAAAGACAATCTTAAAGCTCGCAATAATCTTAGAGAAATGGGTATAAGGTAAGAACTTTGGGCAGATGAGAATGGAAGCTATCGCCCAGCCTTGTTCACTCTTTTAAATTCAAAGAAAAGTGGATTTAAGAAAGAAATATTTTTGCGGACTTTAAAGAATGTCAAAATGCCTGATGGATACGCTAGCAACATTTCAAGATGTGTCGACTTGAAACAACAAAAGCTCAAGTCAATTAAGAGTCATGATTTTCACATTCTCATGCAACACTTGTTACCAATTGCCATACGTAGTGTTTTACCAGACAAGGTGACTGCAGTATTAATAGAGTTGAGTTCGTTCTTCTGTCAACTCTGTGCCAAAAGCTTAAGTCCCTTAGATCTTGACAGGATCTAGTCTCGATAATTTATCACCATGAATTACTTGAAAATGTTATTTCCTCCTACATTTTTTACAATCACGGTTCATTTAACTTGTCATCTAGCTGGTGAAGCAAAACTTGGGGGACATCAACAGTGTCGGTATGTATACTATTGAGAGGTAAAAAATATTTCTTATTACTTGATTGGAGCTTGTTCATTAAGAATAGATATTATTTGTATCCATCAACTAATTTTGATCTTTTGTTTAGGTATTTGGGACACTTAAAATCCTATGTGCGAAACATGTCACAACTAGATATCTAGCTGAAGATGCTCTTACTTTTTGTTCCCAGTATATTGAAGGGATTGAGACAAGATTTAATAGGCCACTCCGTGTTGACGATTTTCCAGAGGATAGAGGCTCGTCGAATTCATCTAGTATTTTCCCACTACTTGGTAAAGGACTAGGAGCTGTAACATTTGAGTTGTCACCTATGGCAAAATGTCAAGCACATCGATATGTGTCACTAAATTGTCCACAAGTCTTTCCATTCATTAAGTGAGTATTTAAGGCAAATCTAAAATAAACTTGCATTAAATACATAAAAACTTATGTTAATTGTTATATTTATATCAAAATTTCATCTAGTTAATTTAAAGCTTATTTGCGGAGGCGGTGGAAGGTCGAAAGCCTTCAAACACGGAGATAGAGAAGATAGTTAGTAAAGACTTTATTGATTGGTTTCCTCGAAAGATTGGTTACAAATGTATTAGAATTTTGTAACTTTAAATTCGTGACTAACACATTTTACATTCTTGTTTCAGATTGTTAATCCAGGTATTTCAAATACTATGTCCGATGAACTAAAGTTTTTAGCAAATGGTCCAGCACCATATGCTAGAAGGTTTACATCATTTAATATCAATGGGTTCAAATTTCGGACAACAACTCGAGAGCATGGGTTGAAAATACAAAACAATGGATTTTTTTGACTTCGTCCACATCTTGTATTGCTAGTGGTGCTGATTGAAACCTGAGGCAAGCAGATTTGCCATATTATGGCAAATTAGAAGGCATCATTGAGCTTAACTACTATTGATTTAGGGTTACACTATTCAAGTGTAAATGAGCTGACACAACTAGGAATAGAGGGTTTAGAAAGGATGCATGGGGATTTCCTTCGGTTAAGATTTCACAATTGATTCACATTGGTGATCGTGAATAGCATGATCCATATATTGAAGCTTCACAAGCTCACATGGTATATTATGTGGATGATAAGGTGAATAAAGGATGGAGTACTGTTGGTCACTTGAAAACAAGATACTTATATGAAATGGGAGAAGGAGAGAATGAAGTTCCTGAGAATGAACCATTTCCAATGCAAGAGTTAGATCAATTCTTTGATGATGTGAATAAAATTTGTTTCTGCTTGGATGTTCTAACAATGGGCTGAAATGTGTATCATCTGATCTGTTAGAGCTTAAAACCTCAGGGAAGGATTTAATGCAATTTATGCCTCTGAATTTAATGCTCTTTGGCTATATTCTGAAATTGCCTATTACTGATTTGTCACTTTGTTCAATCCTGTATGTAGAGATGACGAAGCAAAATCGGGTGAAAATTCTATTCAAATCAATCAAAGGGAGCTCTTCACTTATTCCAGAGTAGTTGTCACATGCTCAGTCTCAGTCATCACATGCTCAGTCTCAGGCTCAAGCTTCATCTTCATCTTCTTATTGAGTTTCTTCACGTCATACACATCCCATCGTTCCATCTTTGTCAACTAATAGAGTCTCGTTACATAATGTAGTTCCATGTTCATCAACTAATAGAGTCTCGTCATAGAATTTCATTCTATCTTCATCATCTGATGGAGTCTCTGTCGCGCCCCGTTGTTTCCTCGGCAGAGAAAGTCCGGGTTCCGACGTTCATGGGGGTAATAACTCATTTCCTTTTGGGAATTTGGGTATTTGAAGAGTCGCCACCTAATAGATTATGGTGCATTAGGGCACCCCGAGTGATTAACTCTTGGATTGGTTTGCATTACCAGAGATTTAGGGTAAGGGCTCTAAATAACCTAGAGGGGAAGGTGTTAGGCACCCCTCTTGGTCCATAACGGTGGGTCCCGACCGAACTTATACTTATGAATTAGTCCCTTAACAAACAAGAAGTTGAAACACATAGTTTGTAAATAAATGCATGTTGGACATTGTTTGACTCAAATAACAATAAGACAAGGAATTTGGGCGAGTTGCATACAAAAGAGTAAAGTTTAAACATTGGGAATTGGAAAAGGGATCCTAGGTTGGTTAGCCTACAGGATCACTCCACACAACGCCCGGTAAACACTCCTTAATGAGGGACTACACGTGACATTAGCGCGTAGTCATTATATCCTTTCTACCCAATTCCCTCCCCTTGGTCATAGCCTAAAGAGTTCTAGTAACCTTGACAATATCCTATGCATGCACTACCCGTCCTTTCCTCGTGGCCTTGGAGGTATTTTAGGACCTCTATTCTTTGGACAGTTCTAGACTTTCCTAAGATTTTAAAGGATAAAATCTAGGTGTCAATCAAGAACAGTAGGACTGCATATAAAAAAAAAGTTATAGGCTCACAGTTACCTCCTCAAACATAGCAAGTAAGTGCATGTCTTCAAACAATATTTCAATGCTTAAGAGAAAATCCTAGAACATGATATCTAGGTGAGTAGGGGTTATACAACCTTGAATTGGGACAAAGTGTCAAAATCCTATTTAACTTGACTAGTGGTTTAAACCTGTTAAATCTAGACAACTTAAGTAGCAAAACACAGTTTCAGAGTTGCAGAATTTAAAATTACCCTATAGGCTTGCCTAAACGCAGAACAATGATGTCCTAAGAGCAATGTATCTACATGGGTGCAGTAAAGCAGTGAACAGTTTTAAACGGACATTTGAGATCCTATAGGCATACTTTCTAGCAGTAGTGAGTTAAGGCAGTGTTCTAAAAACTCAATTAAAGAAGTGGATAGTTGATTAAGCCAATTTCAAAGTGAACTATCGTGAATTAGACTGAGTTGTGTAACTAAATTGATTTTAATTCTATAGGCAGAATTTCTGATTTTAATTCCTATAGCCATGGTATCTAATTGTTAAGAGCTGATGTTGGAACTTATAGACAAGATTTTAGTGAGACAAATGTAAATACATGCAGTAGCAGGAATTAAACTCAAACACTTTACACTTTATAGGCATAGTATCTACTTATGAAGTTGATTTTAAACCTATAGGCATTGTTTCTATTATTGAATCCATCTAAACTCTATAGACATGATTTCTAATATGGGGAACCTTTTAAACCCTACATGTTTGGTTTCTAGTGTGGTAAAGAAAACATAGCAAGTATATTAATATAATCCTATAAACATGGTATCTACCCGAATTATCCCACAGATATGTAACTACCCACCCCTTTTCACTAATCACCCCGATGTTGTTTACAAATAATTATTACAGACCAGCTAAATAAATTACATAAACAAATAAAGAAGGAAAAGAAAAAGTTAACTATAGGGAGCCTGAAGTGGGTCCAAATGACTTCCCAAGCCTCCAAGAGCCTCAAGTGCCAAAGTACCATAGATAATATCATGTCTAGGTGTGTCAAAGTTCCCTAAGGACCTCAAGGATCCCGGACAGTGCTCACACCTAGACCCTTTCTCAACAATAACTGATTTAAGTACAGTGTGGAAAGGCCAGCTCTGATATGCCAGAGTTCAGAGAAATCTCATGGATCTCAAGACAGTACACATGCCAGAGGAGCATGACCTAAAGAAGGTCATAGAAAGAGTAGTGGAGAGTGCTTGACATAGAAAGAGTTTGGCAGATAGAGAAAGAAGATCTTAGTAGAAGAAAGAACTTTTATGAAAGTTAGAACATAGTTTTAAGAGTGGGAATAGTTTAAGAATATATTTAAAACAGTGAGAAATCATGGTATAGAGCATACAGCTTCAGAAGAAATCTCACACAAGGGATAGAGGTAGGGGAACACCTAGCATACACCTTAGTGATGTCAATCAAGTACAGAGATGGTAGTTACAAAGTTAAGTTGGGAATACATAGGTTTAAGACACAAGTAGAATTACATTAGAACAAACTGTACCAGACAAACATTCCATGAAAAACATTCAAGGTATTAGAACAAGCAGGGTTTGGTCATGCTAAACAGTATAAAATAATGAGCTTGAAACATGCTTTGTGATACAGTAATCTAGGCATACTGATTGCATCTAAGTAGAATAGCTCATAAAACTGAAAATCAAGATTGATAAACTGCAGTAACAAAGTAAACACATAGCTTGGAATGTGAATTTAATCAAAACATACCAGTTCAGGAGAGTATGCAAAATATAGAGTAAAGATAATGCCAGTAGTCAGCCTTGGCTTACAGCCGGCTGAACAAGTAGGAATTGTAAGGAACAAAAGAGAGTAGAGGGTTTTGAGAGTATAATAGTGTAAATGAACTAGAGTGCCTTGTTATGGTTGTTAACTTAAAGGAAGAGAAGGTTTATATAGGAGTCGAAAACTTAACAAAACAAGGCAAGAGATCGATTGAGTAATAAATCAGGGAAGTTACCCAAAAATCAGCAAGATCTTCCATTAATCAAGGGACAATTCAATCAACGGTAAATATGCCAGGTATTTAAGGAAAAGAATAAAGTAAAGCCTTAGGTATAGAATATGTAATTAAGGGATAGGTACATAAAGTTCTAATTAGGGAAATAATCAGTAAGAATTAAGTAATAATGCAGACTAGGTAAGGGAAAATTAATTAAGGCAAGCAAATCAATCAAATTGAGTAAAGAAGTAAGAATCAAATGTTTAAAGGAAAGTAATCAAATTAAACCAGAAAATAAGGGATTTAGAGTAATCAAGGGTTCAGAAAATTGTTAAAGAAGCAACATGCTTAGCATATAAAATGAGGTAAGGCATGAACAGTCAGGATTTCACACATCCTCGACAAAACCCATGGTTAAACGACACTGATTCAAAGAGAAGCATACAAGTTTTGCATGAATGGCTAGTACAAACACAAGTTTATAATATCAGTGAAAGTTTGAACAAAGAAGATTCAATAGAAGCATACTAGGACACGTAAATCATGAGAAGTCACAAGAAACTAAGGCAAGAACACAGTTAGAAGTACCCATATCAGAAACCAAACGAAAAAACCCCCAACATTAGGGTTTTTAGTACAAACAGGCTAGGGTTGCAGCAAGTTTATAAAATTAGTCAAAAACGTGTGAGAATCAAAAGTTTAAACACAAAGAATCATCAAACAAAGTTTTAAAAGAAATTCTGAAAACCCTAATTTTAGAAAAGGTTAAGAAATTACTTGAAATCAAACGATTCTGGTAGAGAATCTCTAGGATATTGTAAAACACACAAGAAACAAACTCAAATAGGAGGTTTAGAGACGAAGTTAGGGTTTCGCAGAAAACCATACAGAGGTGAATAAACATACTGAAAAACCCTTCGATCGTGGCTAACATAGAACGATTTCACTCGAAATCACATCAGAATGGCCAAGAACATGCAAGAGATGAACCCTAGATGCAAATCGGCATGGCCCTGGTCCCTTGAGGGCCTTAGGGATGGCAAGAATGACATGAGAGAAGCCATTGGAGGCTTGAGAGATGATGAGAGGTCGCCGGAGATGGACATAGATTGGGGGTCGGCGTTTGGAGATTATTTGATAGAGAGTGTTTTGAGAGTAGAGAGGATTTTAGGGCGGCGGGGTGGGTTGTAAAATGAATTAGGTTTGGGGGGGGGGGGGTATTGGTCGGTTTAATTAGGAAAGGGAGAATCTCGGCCGTTGATCAAAACTATCAACGGCCAGGATTTGGCCGGTATTGGGTCGGGTATTTTAATTAGAAATTGAGCCGGGTAATTTGGGGTCCGGTTTGGGATGAATTGGTATTGGGGAGGGGTTAGAATTGGGCTAGATTTTAAATATCCATTTTAACACTATATAATTTATAATAAATAAGAAATGATTTTTTGAAAAAATAATTTCTTGTACTAAATGGTTTAAAATAGTGGTCTAACAATTTAAAAATATAAAAGACCATTTTATGTATTAAAAACGTAATTATGCTTTAATAGGGCTAGTATTGCAGTTATATGCAAATTGACTTTAAAAAATGAAATTGCAATTACAAAAATGCACTAAAAATATTTTAACAATATTTTGGCATAAATATAGAATTTAGATGCCTAAATCACCACAAAATATTTGAAGGATAATTATTGGAGATTTGATGAGTAAAAAGGGAGGAAATAAATCAATTTCAAGCCTTTAAAAATTATAGAAAAATTATAAAAATACTTATGCATGCTTATATATGCATATAAGCTATTTTGAAAGTATATTTATGTATTAAAAATATATAAAAAAAATTGGGTATCAAAAGCTTCCCCTCTTTACCCGGAAAGGACGAAAGAGTTTTCGGGTAAAGAAATGATGGCCAATTCTGACCGGGCGGGATGTTTCAAAAAACAGA